AGATACACATCTCTAAGAGAAACAGCTCCTTACAATGAAATAAATTGAGTGATTACATTAATTGACACAAATGTTCTCCAAAATAGCCCATTTAATTTTGTTTAGGCATTTCCTGACTGATATCTCCTTAGTTTCTAATAAATAACCTATTGTAAAACTTGCTAACAGAAGACTTCGTAGTGTAGTAGATTCCAAGGTTAAATTATTAAACTTGTCAGCCATAGAGTCTCAATTAGACTGTGACTTGCAAATGCAGTGTAGAAGGGCAAAACCAAAAACCCACAGGAATGTGAATGTATGCCGATACACCTCTACATGCTTTGCTTAGGTTTGCATTTTGTGGAGTTAGATGTTTAGGTAGATGCCATAGTGAAAGATCCAGGAAAGTTGCTACACAGTGAACGTGGTTTTAAGTTTGTGCTTGGGTACGCACCAACATTACTCTCTCTCTCTTCCCGTCTTTAAAGATTCATGGATGAAGCCAGTTAGAATTTAAAAATGTAGATGTTTGTTTTAGTTTTAGTTGATAAACAAAAGCTTTGTCCTTTGGCATTTCTTGTTTTATACCTGTCTTTTAAGCCACAGTGAGCAAGCAGGAGGATTCCTGGCACAGTCACCCAGTGTGGCAGAGGGTGCCTGAGGGAAACGTAGGACGATGCAGAAGCGGGCTGCTGCAGGCGCAGGGCAGTGTCCCAGCCCAGTCCGGGACGCGATTTCTCAGGGTGCAACTCCGCTGTGCATAAGGACTCCACTTGTGCGTTTTCTAGTGGGGCTGCAGAGAGCAGGAGCTATCGGAGGGCAGAGGCTGAGCGGGTGTCACTCCTTTCCATCGTGTTATCCATTATCGTTGTTATCCATTATAAATCAGCGTTTTTGAGTGCCATCTGAGTCCTGTTTACAACTTTATGCTTTTCTTTTGTTGCCTCTAAAAAAGCTGCTCACGTGTGCTGGCAATAGGTTTTTTCCTCAGTGACTGATCCTAGTATCTGGTAACTTTTTCCAAAATCCTCTTGACTAGAGATACGTGTGCTTTTCTGAAGAAAATGAACCCACTCAACATGCACACTTAGTTTTAACTTGGGTGTTTTGTTTTTTTTTTAAAAATATATATGATTATTACCTATGTAAATAGTGAAGTTCCCGTGGTTGAATAAGATAATGAGAGTAGTGAAATAGTATGTTGGACTTCAAATAACAGTGCTTCTGCATTTATTGTCCATGCTTGGAAATGTCACGTTTACAGGCAACTAATTTCCTTGTGTCTATGTTATGTTTTTACGAACTGTTTGGTAGCTATGATAACGAGGTTCAAGGTGCTGTATCAGGCAGCCAATAGTAGGGTCTATAGGTAGTTTCCTGTTGTTCAACTTCAGCCGTAGAAAAGTTAAGCATCTGCTCTATCGTTAAAATGTCTATGGACAAGGGAGGTGGGGGCCTGTAAAGGTCTGTTTGTCTGTGCTAGATAAATGGCTTAAGGAGTGTGAGGTGGATCGCCTTCTGGATCTGTCTTTACGGTCAGGCAGAGTCCAGGCAATTAGCTCAAAGACAGCACCTACCTTTTAGATGGCTAATGTGAGATGCAATTAATCCTCTCTTAATGTGATCCCCTATATTGGGAAAGGGCAGCCTTATGCGTTTGAGGATGGCACTAAAGAATGCCTTAGTCAGAAGCCAAAAGCAGCTAGCAGTATAGGCAGTATAAATATACATTCCCAGTATCTGCAAAAACACATTTTGGGACTGCTGTCACCAGTTCGTATCCTCCCTGTCATTTTAATGACACGTTGTAACTGATACGCATTTGTTTTTCTGAATAACTTGAAGTAGGAGTGAAGTGATTCACTTGGAAAGTAGGAGCTTGGATACTTGGCTGACACATGGAGAATAAAAATACATCCTGAAGTTTGCAAAGGTGAATACAGAAGATTCACTGCTGAGGTGGTTCTGTTGTAAATAGGAGTGGGAAAATGGAAAAGCTGAGTTGTGACCGCTAGGCTTTAAGTCAGGTTTCATACTTGTAGTGGGTTTTTTGAAGCTTGTGTACCTTGTGAAGTGGTGATGTTTAGTGTCCATATGCATGCTGCTTAATTGTTATTCAACAGCACTTCTAAGCATTTCCATTTCAGGCATTCATTCTCTTTTTAAGATTTTCTTACACTATTATTTTTCCAGGGTTTAAGTGCTTTGTGTTTGTAATCTCCCCAATGGGATTATTTTTAAGACTTAGCAAAACTCTTTGAAATTTCTTTCAGTACAGAAAGATAAGAAGAAATGTGCTTCATTTTAGCAACAATATTTGACACTGCTAATAGCTGAGGTCTTGTAGCAATCTAGTAAGGAATATATGTCTTGGAAATAATGTCGGAGATAAACATGCAAATCTGCATAGAAGTTGAATTAAAAAATTAGAAAAAAAAGTTTCAAAATATTAGTTGGTCTGTATGTGACGATTAGTTTTCCCCAAAATAAACATAATGTACTAAATAAAAAGCAAAGCTTTCAGTCGTTCTCTGTGTATTTCAGTATGCCAGATGAGAGATGTCAGGTTCTCAGCCCTGTCCAGCCAGCTGGTTGCAGGGAAGTGGGCTGCAGGGGACCCGGGCACAGCTGAGCACCATGGAGCTAGTAAATAAAATGCCCTTTTTAGTTTTGGCCTCTTGCTTGACTTCAGAAACCTAAGAAACTTGTACTGTGGTATGTCCCGTAGGAGGCTGACCTTTTTCCGCAGTGTGGGGTATGCTCAACGAAGGAGGCAGCAGCGCACGGTGCATCACAGACAGTTAGGGGATTGCCTTGCTCTGTGCCAGATTATGTTTCCCATCTCCAGCATGTAATTTTCAGGCAAATTCATTTAAGTCTTTAATCTATAATTAGGGTTATAAGCTTCTTTAGACCTTTTGGAGTTCCTTTTTTAAAGAATGGAATACAGCATTCTTATTTGGTGAATCCTTCTGATGTAGTTTCAGAGAAAGCTTTCCTGGAGGTTTTCTCTTTATTTCTTTTTTTCCTTCGATTTTCTAAAATGGGTAGGTAAAGATCCCATTTCCATCAAGAAATGAACTGAAATTACCTGGTACAAGTGACTGTGATACGTAGGAAGAATTTATTCCTGGCAGTACTGAGCATAAATGTGTTTCAGTAGGCTAAAGTAAATATGTGTTTCTAAAATTGGATTCATAGAGTAGATTTTTCTGAGTTAAAAAAAAAAAAAATTAATTAAAATGTCACTCCTTTTTCATGTGTTAATACATGAACATTTGGCAAAATAAATCACTTCTGTTGCCAGCCATTGGTGTGAGGCAGTTCTCTGTGTGAATGCCCCTGTTTGCCTCAGGACAAGTTACAGCCTGGAGGAACGGGTATTTTTGTACTTCACCGTATAAGTGTATGTGTATCTGCCTATCTATGTAAATCTGTATGTGCATATGCATGCATATGCATCATATACAATGAGTGGTGCTGCATAGCATTCCTTTTGTGTTTGAGAAGCTGCCTTCTGTGTGCCTCTTCTGCCCAAGTGTCATTTCTCCTCATTGTTTCCTCATTTTCAGGTATTTATTACAAAAGTACTCTACAGACTTTTTTTTCCCTCATAAGAATTTTAATTTTAGGAATATTCAGATTCAAACTTTTTTTTTTTTTTTTTTTTTTTTTTAGTTTTTGTACCAGAGATCTTATTAGATGTTGCCTAATCTGATCTTAATAGATGTTACCTAATCTTTACAGAAACCTATAAGAAGTCTTCTTTTATTGCAAACACAGCAACATTAAATGGTCAGTAAATATATTCTCGATGTGCTATAGGTACGCAGTTTGGTTTTTTTTTAATGTCATTTTCTGGGTGTTTTGGGGGATTTTGGTTCCCCTAAGTTGACCTAAGGGATTTTGTCATCATGTTTTCTACTGATCTGTTCTGGTTTCCCTTTTCAGCTCCCTGTAGCATAGATTTTGGAGGACTCATTGCTGTTCTGGTTTGGTAGGCGGGATGTCCTGCCTGCTTCGATATCTGTTGTGACCGAGCATTCTACAGAAGCTGAAGTATATCCTTCTGCCCCTTACAAGCCCTCGTGACTCCAGGCAGTAAACTGGAGGCATAAGAAAATTCAAATATCTCTAAACCATTTCTGTTGGTTTTTAACAAAACTGCTCATACAGAATGCTCTAAGAAAAGGGGAGAAATGGTAATAAATACCATCATTATTTTAAAATTCTTTCAGACCAGGGGAAGCTTTAACAATTTACACATTTGGCTCAGCTGTAAGATTCTTGGCATCCTTATGTTCATTTAGGGAAGTTCATATATATGTATTTATAGGAAATACATTCTGGAGCTTAATCCAAAGGTTTGCAAACTTCCTGGCTCTCCCTAGAGCCAAAACCATGCCTTTCTATGTCTGTCTGTGTTTTTTGTGGATTTCACTATTATATCTTGGCAGTTCCGTGGTCTTCCCAAATTCTGCTTCAGTGTACATACATCTCAGCTCTGTTGCTGTTTTTTTTTTCTCTTTATATGTTGCTGTTCCTTCACAGTTGTATTTTTACTGTCTAGCACTTGTTTTATTTTCCAAAGCACAAGTTATCAGTAATTTATGCTACTGCTTTACCCCACTTAAGTTTTATATTTTTATTATTTTTTTTCCTTTCTGTAACCTGAGGCATGTTTTGGCCATTGCTTGTTCCTCTACTTGAGGTGGTATTATACAAAGACAGCTACTGCACATACACCAGCCCCAAATACCTTCTATTATTTTTCTTCTTGGACATTTTGGGGGGTTGTAGAATTTTAGTCATAATGCTGCTGCAGAAATGGGACTTCTGGAAGACCAGCTTCCTGAAAGTGTTTGCATGACTTTTCTGTGTACATACAGTTCTTTTAAGATCCTTTGTATGTTCTTGCTTGCAGTTAGTAAATAGCATACAAAATCTTCATCTGCGAATAGTTTTCTGAAAATTAACAAATGCTTTTGCACTTGTACTAAATGTAATCCCCTCCCTTACAGATGCAGAGAGGAGAAGTATGATTATTACAGCCTGCCAAAAACCTCCGTTGTGATAGCTTTTTATAATGAGGCTTGGTCAACACTTCTGCGAACTGTTCATAGTGTTCTTGAGACATCTCCAGATATACTTTTGGAAGAAATTATCCTTGTAGATGATTACAGTGACAAAGGTAGGAAGAATAATTCTAAATAATGGTGATTGTTGATGTTTTTTTTCAGCCAGTCCACAGGAGAAAAAGATAGCCTGTTTGGGTGACATACCGTAAAATTGTACAACATAGGCATCTAATTGGAACATAGTTTTTCTTGTAGCATGCCAGTGAAAAATTTGACTTGTGGACCAAATGTTTAGAATGGGGAAGCACATTTGCTGTGTTGTAACATGAGTGCTTGCATACATAGATAACCTACAGTCTGGTCAAAGCATTTCAGGCTTCCTAATTTGAGCAAGTTTCAATTGCTCCAAGGTTGCCCTGGTGTCTAGTTTAGTGAGAGCTGCCTGGTTATCTGTTTTCATTTGAATTATGGGACACAAAGACAATGCTGGCATTTTCCACCACGCATGGATTGCGTTAAGAATAAACCTTTTACAAGGAAAAAGTTTTACGTAACATTTGAGAAGCACTTAACAATTTGGGAATTAATTGCAGACGCAAATATGAAACATTCAATTTCTTGAAAGTAACTGCAATTTGCATCCATCCAAGTTCTGTGCTTTTTCCTTGTCATTTCCTAACGTAGGTGGTATAGCAGATTCAGAGGTCAAAATGCCAGTATCTTTAAGGCACTGCTATAAGTAATACGCTACTGAAAAAAGACCTTTCTCTCGCATGACGTAAACCAATCGTTCCAGAACTATATTCTTTCTTTGCATTTTATTTGTTTGTTACAGAACATTTAAAGGAAAGTTTGGAAAACTATGTGGCTGGCTTACGCAAGGTGCGTCTTATCCGCGCAAATAAGCGAGAGGGGCTGGTTCGAGCCCGGCTGCTGGGGGCATCCGTGGCGAAAGGAGACATCCTGACATTCCTGGACTGCCACTGCGAATGCCACGAGGGCTGGCTGGAGCCGCTGCTGGCAAGGTGAGGTTATGCTCTGGGCTGGTTTTCTGTCCCACTGCAGAAAGAGAAGGGACAGTTTGGCACACTTCTGCAGTGGAAAAATGGTTCTTGCTAGATGTTTGCTGAAGGTTACCCAAGTCTGGTCCCTGAGGCGCCATGAGTGTTTGTTTCGTGGTAGTGGAGTAGCGAGTGGAAGTGTGGAAGGATTTTTTTCTCCCAAGGACAAGGCTGCTCTTTTCCTTTAGAGAAAGAAAAGTTTTGTTTTCAGGAAGAGGAATCCTCCCCCAGCTTTGAAACTACCTTGGGAAAGGTGGCTGCTTCGATCAGCCTGGGTGGTGGGTGAGAAGGTCTGGAAAGATGCGTGTGCCGAGACATGCCCTGTTGCAGGGCAGCGTACACAAGCAGATTGGAAGAGAAGTCAATAAACTCCGTCGTCCCAGTCCTGAGCTAATCCATCTCTCTCTACCTGGAGAGAGGTTTCCAAAAGCACATGCTGTCTTAATGTGTGTGAATCTTCCTGATTCCTAGTGGGACTTGTGTTCTCAAACTCCCCATGTCCATCTGAAATTGCATCTGGAATAAGAATTTTTTTTTTTTTCTTAAAATTGTCATATTTAACTTGTTTCTAAATTTCATACCAAGTATATTCCAGATAACTGTAGGTTAACTTTGAACAGTATAGATAGTATGAAGAAAGGAAAAGGGGTAAAAATCAAAGCGTAAGCATGGTTTTAACTACTGTCCTCTGAAGAAACAGTACATCACTGTGGAGACGATTCTGTAATTTCTTCACTTCTTCAGCAAACCACTAGATGGCAATCTTGAGGAAGGATTTGGATAATTTTAAGTGTAATAACTTAACCACCTGTAAAAAGTTAGCCCTGGATGTGTCTTGGAGTTTTTGCCCTTCTTGCTGCACATGCAGACATACATCTCTAAGGGGATGTTTGCATGCCATATCTGACTCAAATATATGGGAGCAGTACAACAGTGTTAGCATTTTGCAATGCAAACATAGTTGTATTTGTAAACTGCCTGTGCATTGTACCATCTAGTTAATTCTTAACTTAGGTAAAAGGTGATGGCTTTTCACTTACCTGATTCCTTTCATAACTGAGATCACATGCCAGCTACCTAATTTTTACTCCTTTTCCTTTATGGGAGCAACAAAGCATTTTTACATTTTATTGGGATTTTTGTTTCCTCTGTGTACGTATCATTCTCATTGCGTTGTATATAAGTTTTATGCAAGTGAGACAGGAGATAGCAATATTTGTGTAAGCCCTTTTATGCACTCTACCAAACAGGATTTCAATGGGAGATTATAAAGAAGAAAACAGCGGTGTTGCATCTTCCCTCCGGCAACAAGAGACCATTTCATATTTAAGGCAGTCTTTCTCAGCTCAGACGATACTTCTTTGGAAGTTCTCTGCTGCATTTAACCAACACAAGCTGCTCTAATATCAGAGTCAGAGCCCCTTGGTCAGCCTGCGAGTTTTAAACTTAATAATCCCTCGGGGAACTAGCTCCCCTCAAATGACAGATGCATCACAGCTCCTCCTTGTTTGGCAATATAACGCGTTCAGTTTTCCTTCTCCTCTGGAATATGCAAATCAGAAGATGCAAGGCTAAAACAAGTACCAGCATCTTAAAGTCAAACAAATCATTTTGTTTCACTGAACTAACAGGAGATGTTTAAGACTAGTGTAGAGCAGATTGCTAAAGAGTGATTTAGGAGAATGACCTTAGCTTGAGCTTGCATTCTTGAAGTTGATGTCTCCTAGTACCGAGAGGCCTTTTGAGAAATTGAGGTGAAGGCAAAGGAACCCACTGCATTTTGTAAGGGCAAATGCGTCTGGAAAGGAATCCAGAAAACCCTGTACGGTATTGAGAAATGGGAAGAAGGGTTTATCTCCTTGCAGAAGTAGACCTGCAAGAAATGTCAGCTCTGGTGTATTCTTAGTATGATAAAGATCTTAACTATCTTTAGATCAGCCTTGCTGATAGGTATGTCATTCCGCAGTACTATCTTGTTTCTCCTTTTTACGTCCTATGTTGCCAGGGTTTCTGGAGGCCTCCTTCATGTGTGTTTCACTGGTGGAGATCTAATTGCAGCATGAATTGAAAAGGTGCAAAACTTTGTGTTTGGTATCTCTAAGCATTCTCTGTTCTTGACAGTTCTAGTTTTTTGAGAGAAGTTTCTAACGGAAGTCACCCTTTCCTTTTAAAAACACATTAGGATTGCGGAAGAAGAATCAGCTGTCGTCTGCCCTGTTATTGATGTTATTGACTGGAATACATTCGAGTACTTGGGAAATGCTGGTGAGCCACAGATTGGTGGATTTGACTGGCGGCTGGTCTTCACTTGGCATAGTACCCCTGAAAGAGAACAAAAACGGAGGAAGTCCAAGACCGATGTGATCAGGTTAATTTTTATGCATCTTATGAAACTGTGAATGTTACAAGTGGTTTTGATTTCACTTGGAAATGCCTGGTGCTGAAAAATATTTGAGAAATGAGCATATTACTAAAAATTACATATTTTGTTTCGTTCCCCTTTTTTCCAAAATAGCTCCTGCTTACCATGCTCCTGGAAAAATATTGCTCTAAAAGCTGAAATTCTGTGTAATCTTCCATATGGAATCCTTATTGAGCAAGTAGTCTCTTGACTGCTGCAGGCAAACTCCCGCAGATGCTTACCAGCACACTGAAAGGTTGTAACTGAGTAACTAACATGGGAGGATGTCCTCTGTGCAAAGCAGAGAGATCTGCGTTGTAAAAAAATGTATCGTGGTCAACGATGAAAAAGGGAGAAAAATCATCAACCAGTAAGAAGGCAAAAGTAGTTTTGAAGACTTTATCTGTGCTGTAGCGGTAGTTCCTTGTGCTGTTTTCAAAGGTGAACCAGTTCTTTATTGGGATGAAATGATACAGCTCTACCCACCGTAGTTTCTGTGAAGGGCTGACTCACAGGAGCTCATGTGGATATCTTCCTTGTGGGTTTTAGTTTTGTTTTATTTTAAGACAAGTTGCAGTTAGTGAGTATTAATTGTCACTCCATGCTCTATTTTTAGGAGAGGTGATGTAAGAGTACCAACAATGCATCTGGAAAACGGACACTGTAGGCAAAATCCTGAAGGTTGAGGGTCTGCTATGTTCAACTTGGAAGTTGCTGTATTTCAGCAGTTTATTGTAGGAAATGAAGCAGCTATTTGGCATTTTTAACACCACGATTTTGTTAGTCCTTGCTTTTATTTATAATCTGTTACCTTATGGTCTACAACAAATACAGAATGATTAATTTTTCTCAGTCTTTTCTAGGTTGCTTATAGTGATAATAATACCCAGTACTTCACAAATATTAATGAACTTATCCTCAACTGAGAGAACTTTTTTTTTTTTTAAATGGGAAAAGTGAGGCAGTAATTTAGTCCTTCTCAGCATGTATTAGTCCACATCCTCCATAAAAAAAAGTTTCAAAATAGAGTGAATGTTTTTAAAGCCTTTAGTTTAAATATGATGCTTTCCTTCTCCACGACAAAAATTGTCTTTGGCATGCCAAGGGGAAAACGATGAGGGATAAAGCTTCATGGTAGCCCGAGGACTGTGAGCTTGGCAAGTGTCTGGAGAAAGCAGCAGTGCGGAGAGTGGTGCCACTGACAGCTGTGTTTGGAAAGACAAGGTCTGGAGTGAGACAGAAGAGCTTGACTGGTCATGGAGTTTGGGGTTTTTTTTTTTCCTTCTGTCTCACCTCATCTCATTCTATTCTTTGAAACAGCATATGACAGTGTAAGAGAGTGTTGCTTCAAAAAGATGGCTGGTAAAAGTTGTTTTGACAGATTAAGAGTAACTGATGGCTCTACCTTTGTTAATATTTACCTCAACGGCAATTTAGTAAAATTCATAAAGTGTCAGGTGAATTTAGTTCCAACCAGCATTATATACTTGGTGCTTTAAAGAGGGCCATTTTCTAAGACTGTAAATAATTGGGAACAATATTGAACAAATACAAGTTTATGTATATGTGCACACGCTGCCCTACTGAAAGTACATCCCTTAAGTGTGCTGTCACTCCGGGCCGTCTGGTCTGCGATGATCCGGTCTTGATCCCTGACTTTTTTCCCAAACTTAGTAAAAAAAATACAGATGGGCAGATCTTCTTAGAAAGAAAAAAAATTCTTTAGGGGCTATATTAACTTAATTCTGCTCAATTGATGCCTGAGAGTTTTTCCACTTGATGTTAATGGGATCAGCAATGTTGTTATTAATTACTAAAGCACAAATATTTGTTTACTTATTACTTAAGGATACTGCACTTAGAATTTCAGAGCTGACTAATATAATTCTGCAACAAAAAAAGTTTATGTTCTACTATTTGAGGTAAGAGACTAGTCATTTATTGTCACTCACAAAGGCACTGTGATTGCAAAAATTTGTATTAACACAGTGTTTATCTTTTCTGATTTCACTGTTATTTTTATTTTAATACATTCTGGAGCTTGTTTCAGATACCATTTTTTACTACAAAATTAAACTTAAATGGCCTGATGATAACCGATCAATGGCTGACTGTTACATTGTATCCAGAAAAGACTGAGAAAATGGAAAATAAAAATATACTGTATTTTTTATCCATTGCATTGGGTTTTAAATTTAACTTCTTTTGCTTTTCCTTCAATTCAGAGTTACTATTCTCTTTTATAGGTCTCCGACCATGGCAGGTGGATTGTTTTCTGTGAGCAAGAAGTATTTTGATTATCTTGGTTCATATGACACAGGAATGGAAGTCTGGGGAGGAGAAAACCTTGAATTCTCATTTAGGGTAAGTGGCTCAATTGAAAGGTTTTTTGTCTGAGACTAAAACCAAGTTTCTTTCTTCACACCCTTTTACTTAATAAGATAGCTGTAATGTAAGCAACTAAGCAAGTGTTAAGAAGAGAATATTTTGGCAGATGTCTATCTGAATCTCTGTTCTCATACTTCATGATAACTTTATTTTCCTTCCGAATAGCCATTTTAAAACAATTTTTAAAAACACGTCTTTGTTTTGAATGCCAGTATAAAGTGTAAGTAGTGGTGTGATACTTACTAGTGGATGAAGTTTACATTCTGTGGCTTGAAGAGGATCATTGGAAAGAAACATTTATAATTCTCTAATGTGACTCGGAGTTCTCGCTGTGGTTGATGGAGTGAGCAGGAGGCAGCTGGTGGCGGTTACCAGTGGGGCAGGACAAGCCAACCCCTGCACTGCTTTAAGGCTTTACCCTGTTTCACTTCAGGAAAAGTTTGTGTAAAGGTTGTAAAAGGCAATGGGGAAAATCTTCCAGGAACTGTAGAGCTATGCCCCACCGGAGGGTGGACCAGCGCTCAGGTGTGAGGCAGATAGATAGCTGGAATGAAAAGGATTTATGACAGGGGAAGAGAGAGGAGATACAAGCCAATCCAGACTGACAAGTAAAACAGTGTTGTCCTCAACTCTGCTGTTACCTGTGCTGCTGCTGATTCCCACTGAGCACTGGCTGCCTGTGGTTTGCCCCATATCACACTTAGCTTGCTGAAGCAACCCAGTGGTGGTATAAGAGGTACACTGCAGAGATGTTTTTGGCTTGCAGGGAGTTCACCACTCAGTATCCTGGATTTCCCTTGTGTTTTCTGCTCATCATCAGTTATGTTTTGTGGTCATATTTGCGTTTCTGTGTGTCACTGGATTGTGGGACGGAAGAGTTGATGGTTTTGGTTTGTTTTTTGCCAGGCTACAGCAGGGATAAATAGTACTTTAATGTTGCAAAACCACTTTCATGAGAAAGGAGGCATCAGCAGACTGTCTCACTTGCTGCCTGTAGTGCAGAAATCCTAGCAAAGAGGGCACAAAAATAAGGAAGGAAAAGGATTAGGGAGGATAATAAGCACAGACGTAGAGGTGACATGGTTTCTCTCGGAAGGGGGATTTCTCAGCTGGAATCGCTGTTTGATCTGAATTCATGACCACCTTCTTTCTCACGTAGGGAAAAGTTTCTGGTGTGGAAGTCCAGACACACAGCCTGCTTGTCTTGGTCAGTAAATTAGCAGACGTCCACCTGAAGCTCAAAACAGCTTACCCACCTCCATCCGCTCTGTGAGCTTCGGAAGCAGGAGTCTCCCAGCTCTCTCCAGTTCTGGTGTAGCCCACGTTGATGTGTATGTTGCAGTGGGTCCCCTCTTTCCTCTGGAAGGGGTTTCTTCTCTGTGGGATAATTGCTTAGTCATGGGGTCAGGAGTTATGAAATGGCTCTTCATGGAATTATTTTTATGCCTCCTTTTGAGAGGCTGCTCAGGGAGCCACAAGTAGCAATAGATTGGGTTTGTACTTGGGGGCCCAAAGAAATGATCGTGCTCATCATCTGTCACAACCCAAAGTAGGTTAAGCTGGAAAGCAGCCTGGTGGTGGACGCCATCCCCAGCTAACTCTGGCAAGGGAAAATTGTTTTTCTTGCTTACTGAGGGATTGGAAGGGGTGATGACAATGAGGGAGTCGTGCATTTTTGGGTACAGATGCTTGCCATACCTGAGGCTTGCTGTGTCTCTTACTTTCTCAGCTGTGACACTACTGCAGCAGGCAAATTAGCAGAGACAGGAGACTGTCAGTTTAGCAGTGAGCTACATCAGGGAGCATGACATTACCTCCCACAAATGTGGCGTAACAGTAGCAAGCATGTTGGGTACATGCATCTCTTGAGCAAGACTGGCTCTTGCAGGTACCTGTTTGTGTCTGCTAGTGTACGTGCAACCAGACCGAGCACCCGTGAGGTGGAGAGGGTGCTGCTTTTGAAAGTACTATATGTTCTGCCTCTTAGCAGAAATTGGCACTGGTCTCAAAGCAGAAGCTTGGAAACAACAGCCACAGTTGACAGAACTCGACATGACAGGATCTGTTTCACCTTGTCAAAATGTCTGCGGTCTTTTGTGGCCCTGGCTGCCACAGATTTGGTGGCACCAGAATGGTTGCCCCCTCACTAGTAGGAGTTGGGGGTAGTACCGGCCCAGATGGCAGCCAGCAGTTTTCTCCTCTGCGATGGGATTGCGGGAGCTTCCTACAGCTCCTTGTAGAAAGCCTGGAAGACGGCCCTCTCTGCATGCAGTTCTTGGCTTTCTGCTCGTCGTGTCTCGCTTTTTGGGAGACCGAGTCTTGCAAGACAGGACAAGCCTGACGGCTGCCCTGTACAACACAAGAAGTGCCCTGCACTGGCTGCTGCTTTAGCCCCAAGCTATCATTGCCATTGACATCTGGCACCAAGTCTCATTTTCGATGTTACTGGTTCTGGTGTGGAAGTCCGGGGGCTCAGGGCAGTCCTGCAGCCTGTCGTGCACCAGGCCGAGAGAGGGGACGTGGTTTGGGGTGGGGGGTAAGAGGGGTGCTTCAAGGAGGAGGCAGAGTGGGAGCTCCGGCATGGGGCTCGCTGCAGGTGGATGGAGAGGCTCTCTCCTGGGGGAGTTCTGCAGGACAGACCGTGCAACGGCCAGCGGATGTGCCTGGGCGTGTTAATTTTGCTAGTGCAGATCGCCAGGAGGATCTGGGCATTTGGATCCAAATTGCGCGTGATGTGCTCTCCTCGATTTGATTTCAAGCCCCTGTACTCATGCTTCCTGTGGTGAGGGTTTTTGTGGAAGAGGGCAGAGCGCTATGATGTTGCTTAACTGCAGTGTTCTGGCTGCCCATGGTGCCGAAGAAGGTCAAGAGGGATAAATCAGTGTTAATTCTGTTGTCTCTGTGGTTTAGGCCTGCCAGACCTGAAAATTAGGAGCAGGGTAACTGAAAAACATTGTAAATTAATTCATTGTTCTTGTCTCTGAAAACACCACCCTCTCCTGATGACATGAAAGGACCTGTCCTCAAGCCTTCTCTTTCTCATACTTCGATTATTCTAAACTGAAAAAATTCTCTGTGGTTTTGAGAGGTGCAACAAGGACAAAGCTTCAGCTAAAAGCGTGATGACTAAGAGAGATGGAGGCTGCATGCTGAATGCAAGATCGAGTCAATGTGCCTTGATTTCGAATTGCTTAATGCTATTTGGCTGGATAAAATTTCACTTCATGGGCATAATGGGCATTGAAACTCCTCTTTGAGGGATGCAAAACATGCTCTTTCATCTTCCCCTTTCCTGTACATGGAGTGAGGAGAACCTGGTTGCAGCTTTTTCCCCCCATTCCTGCTAGTGACACTGCAATGTAAGTTTGTTTCTGGGGACCAACACTTGATGTGCCTGTGGTCTGTCCTTCAACCCACCATCACGGCGTGAGAGAAACCCACGCGTGTGCAAAAAGACAAAATTATTTACTGATAAGTCCTTTCTTCTGTTGGAAATTTCATTGTCCATGAGCCTAGATGATACACCTCCAGTCGCCTGGGGTCTTCTCTTTTCTGATCTTTTTGTAATGTTTCTTTATGTCTGGAAATCTGTCTTGCAGGATGGGTTCATGGGGCTGGGGGGGCCCCTCTGCCCACCCAGCTCCCAGCAGATCACGCATGAACACCACGCCAGGGGGCTCAGCCGCAAGCAAAATTGCAGCAGACCAGGGGCAGGAACAGAGTGTTTTGCACAGTTTGGCCTCATTCAGCAGCCTTTTTTTTTTTTTTTAAATATTATTTTTTCATTCTTCCAGAGAGTCCTAAAATGTTGGAATGGAGGTGGTAGAGCTTATAGAGCTTTTCTTATTTAGCGTTCATTGACCCAGCATTAGGTCAGTTGTCCGGAGACCCTGGCAGGGATGGGAATCGCAAGGCAAGATCTGAACATTTACTGTAGCTTTTCATAATGCCACCATCTGTCTCTGAAAAGAAAAGAAAAAATATCGATAGTGTGCATGCATCAAGATGAAAGTGAAAGTAAAGAGGAATGTCACCTTGTTTTCTTTCTGTGGTGAAGGAAAAAAGTATGCTTTTATAATGAGAGCTGCGAGGTAGCCAGACCTAGTAAAGAAACATATTTTCATGCACGTGAGCATGCAAAATATACATGAAACTTAATGTGCTTCTCTGTTACAGAAGGTTGAAATACTTTTAGGGGAGAATCTTTTCCAGCGTCACTTATTTAGCATTTAGTAATCAACTTTAGTCTCTCTATTGAATTCCTTGCTTTATTTTATGGCTGTTCATTTCTACCTGATTTTATGTAGAGGTCGAAATGTTTTCCATTAAAATAAAAATAAATAAACCTTTTGAGGAATTGTTTAGCTGAAATACATTCAAATTTTTTTTTTTGTAATAGGAAGATGAGAACTTTTGAACTGTTTTAATGAAAGAAGCAGAATTTAATGAGCACTGCTTAGCAACCTGCGGTTATTTTTTAAAGAAATTCAGGATTTTAAAATTCAGCTGTTGTGGAATTCACTTTCTGTCAGCAGTTTAACAGAGGTATGGTCAGTCTGGTTTACTCCATTTAAGTCAGACTTTATCATGGAAGAGTAGAAGAATGTGCTTCCTTCTTAACTGTACATTTTTACTTCAGTAGTCTTCGTGGTCCGTTCCTTGTATCTTGTTTAAAACCAGACTCATCAAAACAGTAATTATCAATAAAAAAAAGCTGATATGGAATATAATGAATATGGAAATTGTTAAACTTTAATAAATTTAATGGTGCTTAATATTTGCTGATGAATCTTGCGTGATAAATTTCAACTTTAAAAAAGTAATCTTGAATCTAGAAATATTAATTTAAGAAAGCTGTTGTTTTGAAACAAATCTCAAAAAGGGAGATCTTAAAGTGAAAGTGGATAGCTGTTTTCATAGCAACTTTCAAAATAGCAGTAGTGTAATTTACAAGCAAAAACACGCAAATTGTTTAAAAGATCAGTACAGAATTCTAGATTTCTTGTATAATTTCTTTAATAATCTTTCTGTTCAAATGACAAATATACTGCTTCCCTGAAAAGCAACAAAAAAGAAGAGAGAAACCTTACGCAAAAAGCAAGAAATTTAAATTTTAAATCCAGGAAGTAAAGATTATCCAGTGTTCCCTGTAGTTGCATAATTAATTACCTAGACCTTTAAGGAAACTGTCTGTTTTAAAAGTAAACATATGTATTAGAGTGCCTACCGTTTTGTTATTAAGCACAGTATTGTGCCACGCGTAAAGGTCTGATGCCATTATCCAAAACCAAAGCAATAGAGACAGCATTCACTGATTTCTAAATTAAGAAATTTGAGAGAACTCTTAAGTAACTTTAAAAAAAAAAAAAAAATTAGCAGTCTGAAGACAGCATCTGTCTTGTGTATGCTGAAAGCCTTCATCTGTATTGACTTTCTAGATCCCTAAAAGTCCCAGGGAGAGGGTGGGAAAAGTCCCGTCACTGATCTTTTGTCATTGTTAGGTACAGAAGTTTTATTTGCTACCTCATAGCTTTCACTCCTGCTGTGTTCATTTGAATAACATGTCATTAAATAAGTATGTGTTATACAAGAAGGTTGCCAGGGAGCAAACCTCTACCCTTTAAACATATCCCAGCTAATTTCCTTTGTCCTCCATTTACAAAGGAAGGATGAGCTGCCACCTATGCATCGTTGAATACACGAGGAGGATTAGCTTGCTGGAGTGGCAGTTCTCAAAAATCTTCTACAGAAAGTCTGTCGGAGCCATTGGTGATAGCCTTAAGTTTGTTCAAGTGCAGCAATGTGTCCTACATTTCCTGCCATCTGACTAAATTTCAGAAACCTTGTTTCAGGCACCCTTCAGAAATGGTGTCTGCCACATTGCGGTCACACAATATTAATTAGGAAATACATAGCCGTGCTTTCATTACATCAAACTTGAGATCAGAATGGATGATGGGAAAGTGGCTGTGTAGATAAACTGCCAGAAGTCCATGGTTTTCAAAGGAGAAGAGTATCGTTACAAAAATTTGCAGAGTGTGCTGAGGCTAACTTATTCACTCGGTCGTCATTTATGGGCTCTATCTCGAGGGCTGTACATCTCCTGACCTGGGGAGCCAGAGGCATGAGGATGAGCACAAGGGCAGAGCGAGTTCTGCCAGTTCCACGGTCAGGTTCAAGTACTTTCCTTGACAGCAAGTAGGAATATTGCTTTAGACAGGGGAGGTTGTTTCACTGCTGTTGGTTGCACCACCATGAGTTAGTTACAGAATTACTTTGCTTTTTCTTTTCATGTGTTGGGTCTGGGGTTCCTTTCCCAGCTTTCCAATGAAAAAAGTTAGTTTTATTTTACGACCAGGCACCCATGCCTCTCTCTGACATGGTGAATATAGAAGTGGGAATGCAACTTACCACTCTCCAATGATATGACAAGCTGACCTGTTTTGTCAAGTCAGCTTTCCAGTAGTATATAGGCAAAGATTTCTGGTAAGAAATCAGTTATCGGTCATTGGTTTCATTCTGAGGTGGCTATTAGCATGGTTAATTTGGAAAAGAAACATGCCTCTTTTTTTCTTTCTCTTGTTTTTTTCTTTTTTAATAATGCCTGTATAACTTGAATTGTAGACCACAGTTAGACCTGTGGAAATATTGTGGACCATTTCTTATCGTGCCTTCAGAGAAAGTAAAGCTAGGAAAGGGATAATTGCACACGAGAGAAAACCAGAGATGGGGTTATCTCCTTGTTACTCCCAGTGATTTGCTCTGAGTTCAAAAGGATGTAATTTTATCCAGCTTATTCATCAAATGAGACACAAAATTATTGTATAAGTTGCTTATAGTAGTATGCTGTGATATTCTTGAGAAGGTGTTATCCTTACAAAGGCTTATTGTTACTGTATCCTTCTGCTTACAAAGATTCAAATTAATGATGCACAATGTCAATTCTTTGCTCAGATATGGCAGTGTGGAGGAAGTCTCGAGATCCACCCTTGCTCCCATGTAGGTCACGTTTTCCCCAAACAAGCTCCGTACTCACGCTCCAAAGCTTTGGCAAACAGTGTGCGTGCAGCTGAAGTGTGGATGGATGAATATAAAGAACTTTATTACCACCGAAACCCACACGCTCGCCTGGTGAGTTCAAGTCCATTGTTCTTGGAATTTCGCTACAATTTGTCTTCAATGAAATAACTATTAATTTAGCTAATATTTAACATGAAGTGCTTTTATGTTTATTTCTTATTTCTTCTGAAACTTTTTCCAAACAAAGAATAAGTGTATATATAGTTAATTTTTAATTCCTTGGAAAAAATCAGAAATTCCATAAGACTAGGAGGTGGCCAAATCTCTGTCAATATTAAACGAATGAATGAATAAATGAAAGAATAAAGTTAAGCAAGGTGACTCAAGTAAGGGGGAGCTGTTTAGCCTAAAATATGCACTTCTGTGAAACTACTGATACAGGATTCTATCAATAAAGAATTACAGAACAGACACACAATTATCGAATGCTAATCAACAAGTTTCAATGGACAGTAGATCTTTAAGTGAACAGCATGGTAATAATCTTTAGCAAAATTACCTGTCTTGTAAAACTTTGGACTGGTGTAAGACAAAATGGATTTTTCTGTTTGATTTACTGCTGTACAACATTTGATTAAAAAAAAAAAAAATCAATATTGCAAAGATTAAATTAATTAAAATCAGTCCTAGGAACTCGGATGAAAATATTCCTAATAAAATATTTGAAGTTTCAGTACTGTTTTTCAAAAAAAAAAAAAGTTAATATTTTTATTTTCCGTGAGGAAGAAAATACAAGCTCGTTTGTTTGCAGAATTTTTCAGGAGATAAATACTGTGAAAATTGAGTGGGTCAAAACAGTAAAGCAGAGTGCAAATTCATAGCTTGGATATATTTATTGTGAGGGGCCTGCAGGCTGGAAGACAATAACACTGAAATATCCTCACAATGTCTAGAAATGACTCAGATGAACCTCTGGCACAAAGTCCAAAATTCAGGCCTAGAAGAAATAATTCTCTGCTGTTGCTTGTTTCTGGAGGTGCTTAATCTTCCCGGGCACTTCTTTTTGCGTGGAAAGCTTTCCCAAGTGCCGGCTTTCTGGTTTTGTGCACGGGGAGCACGTCCTTGCGGTGGGCTGCTGGGCACCCACCTCTGGCTACGCCGGACCAGAGCTTCGGGACCAGGCAGGGGGACAGGGAGCTCCCCACGTGTTTGAGTGGCCTTCCCCAACGGACGTGCCAGGGGAAAAAATGCCTTTGAAATCATTTAAGCTTTTAAAAGATATGCTGGAGGAGACTGGGGAAGCTGAATTTGGTTAGCTTCCACCTCGCGTGCCTTTAGATTAAACTGGGTAATTAGATTGTTATAGTCCATGCATTTGTAATAATTGTTTTACTTTAACATCATAAAAGCCATTTAGGTTTTATTATTAGAGTCTGACTTTGAGAGGAATACGGGTTTTGTGTATCCAAAGACAGGAGCTCACAGGCAATGCCAGGCTGATTCTGCTTGTCATACACCAAGAGACAACAGCAATAAATGCTGACAGTTTTTCTTGTAAAGTTCTGGGCAGCTGATGTCTGCGATGACAGAACTTTAACTTTAAAAGATATTTATGTGTTAGTATTGGAAGCTCTGCATATTGGTGTATTGTAACACGGTGGGCGTAAGCTGAGGCTCGTGTGGTTTTTCGCATGTATCAAAGCTGCCGCCAATGCACTCTGGTTTCTGTAACGCTCTGTGCACCACTTGTTGCAGCGGTTGACTTCAGGCCCCTTTACTTTATCTATCTAACCCAAATATTCAGTTCCGTAGCATAATGGGAAAATGATTGATGGTATGGCTGCAGAATTTGGTTCCGTAAAGTTTCGCTTCAAGATTAATGTTCAGACCTCAGAGCTAATATGTGATGCTGTTTGTTATTCAAGCGGGCATCTCTGCCTCTGTTTTACATCTGCTTTGTGTTTTCAGTGATAGTTCCACAGCTTTGAGAAATGCAAATATATTTGTGGTTTGATGAAAGAGTGTGTCAAGTTACCTGTAAAAATCTGGGGGCTGCAAATGGTATCTTGTGCCTGACTGTCTGAAGTCCCTAGTCGATATAAAGATGGTTTTTTGAAGACAGACATGAAAAGATGTGATCTCTGCTCCAATCTATAGACAGGGAAAAGTCTGCAATGAAAGCTTTTCTCTGGAGGTTTAAGATTTCATACTCCCCACACCCCAAAACTATGAAGTTCAAAGAAAACATTAGCAGATTTTACAAATTCATCAGTTGAGTGTAAAACTGTCTGTACAGGTAATTTGCAAATGAACATAATGGTAGAATAATTTAAAATTCTCAAGATTCATTAACTTGAGACTTTCAATTATCTGGCTAAAGGAAGTTTTATTTTCCAATACGCCTTCTCAGTTCCCAGCAATCTGTATTCAAGGACTTACTTACTTGCGGATTTGGGGAGTTTTCTCAGATGAACTGTCTTCTAGAATATTTTAAAGTTTTACATGCACCGTTCCAATTCTTTTTTGTCAACATTTAACAAATGTAAGGATAATGAAATCAAATCCAGCACCCAAACATGGGGGTTTTTCCTGCCTAAAAGTTCTACTCGTCACTTTAGCATACGGTTCCTAATAATGTATACAGATAATTTAAAAGAGAGCGTCTGTTCTGGTTGTTTTTTTTTTAATCTTTTTTTTTCTTTCAGGAACCATACGGAGATGTGACAGAAAGGAGACTCCTTCGAGAAAAGCTGAAATGTAAGGACTTCAAATGGTTCTTGGAGAACGTCTACCCAGAGCTTCATGTACCCGAGGACAGACCAGGCTTCTTTGGAATGGTACGTGACTGCTGAGAAGGGACCTCCTCGCGGTTCTCTGAGCTTTCCTACTAACTCAGTATGAAGGTATTTTTATGCCAAAATCAGTTTGGGATTTTGGTAGAATTCAGTTAGAATTGGTAGGCTTTAAAATGTGTTTTCTGTCAGAATCTTTGTTCTAGGGGATGCTGTTTATGAAGGAGTTCTGTGAGAGGGTAAGGGAACAGGTAATGTTGCCATGAATTACACCTTCCAAGTGACATCTTGGGAGTGTTAAAGGCAGCAAAGGACAACGTTTTTTATTTCTTGAAATGTTGAATAGCAAAAAAAAAAGAGAACACTGAAGTGTTTTAGTTTTTAGTTGTCAACGTGAAAATAGAAAGAGTGTGCTTTGAAACATGTATTTGCACATTTTATCTGATGAAAACTATGATGCTCTGATGATGGGAAAGAGAGCTGGTGCTATGTGCTCCCAGATCATACGGGATCCTTTGTGTGTCGAAACCAACATGTTAATTTTTAATCTGGAGGTCACTTTAGACCAGCACAGGTTCACAAGCAATTTTCATTGGTTCATTATCAGAATCCTCTTCTCCTGTTTTTTTAAGAGTCAACAGCTTTCTATGCTATTTGCAGCTTACAAATAAATACAAACTATAGCTCCATGTATATCACATTACTGTAATCTCATTTGGAAGGGAGGAAGGCAGAGATGATGCAGCAAATACCTGCTTCCTCTGAAAAATCAGCAGATATCTGCTGCGCGTCTTATTAGGGAGACAAGACTGCACCTATCTGCCCAGCAAAGATGTATAAAATACCTTCCTGATTACCAATGCCACATTGCCTTAGAAGTACTTCTGCTGGTAACTCGATCACTCTGCACATCCAGCTAAGCTGCATTCCCACACTGCTGCATCGCATCCAGCCCGTATCACAACAGTCTGGTTTTGCTGCCATCTGCGCTTCGGTTCCTCAGTCTCTGCTGGATCTCCTTCAGTGTGGGGAAAAAACCTGGTCACTGTGGGCGTACAAGACATACAGGAACCGAGTTTCCCCACCATCTTCCCTAATAGCTTGACGAAAAAGATCCTGGTGTGGAAACGCTGCGGTTTCCCGTAGGGAGCTGTATTTCCCACGGGCAGCTGTGGGAGCTCCCGTAGGGAGGGAGCGCATCACTTGGCAGCCAAGCCCTCGGGAGTCTCGCAGGGAGGAGCCACCCTCCTCCATTCGTCTTGGAGCTTGCACTTGAGTTCATATCTCTCTGTGATCATTGGCATGAAAGGTAATATCCGCCATTATCCGGTACCTTGAACAGACCCCGGTACAGCATTGGTTTGGTTTTTTTTGTTGTTTTGTGTGTGGTTTGCTAACTGACAAGGTCAGAGACAGTTGAAGCAATAAGATATTACAAGACTTACCTTCCAGGCGCATTTCAGTAACCTTATCCTCCCCTCTGCCTCCCTCTTTCACCCTCCAAAACAAAGCCTAGACTGGTGGCAGTGATAGCACTTCAACCTCCTCGGGAGAAGAAGGGATTTGTGCAGTTTCTTTCATGATTTAACTGCACGTGTGATCCTCAGGAAAGGTGTTGACAATACCTAGAAATAATAATTCTTGTTCAGAGCTGCTTGAGGTATCTACAGCATAATTTAAGCGTGCTCTATATATTTCTCTAAAAACAATTCTTAAATGCTGTCATCTAGTTGTGAGCATAATAAGAATACACGGGTTTTTTTGGCAGGAAGAATTTAAAATGTGATTAAAGTACAGTTATACTCTAAGGCAGTGACAGTGCAAAAATGACACCTACTGATTCAGCTGATTTGTGGATATTGAGTCCCATCTGCTAACTTCAATGAATCGTTGATTGTGTTCTTTACTCCTGCCTTAGCCATGTAGTGCTTTTCTGGTTCACAAAAATGCTGTGTCTAAGTGTGTTGGCTTTGTCAAGAGCTTGGCTTAGTGTAAGGTTATTTAACTGTTCAAAGAGATTTCAGAGGGATATGGAGATTTCTCCCTCCCTTTAAATTTTTTACACTGAAGTTGAAAAATCTTTCTAAGATTACCCATAGGTCAGCCATATGTTGCTGAAATAAATGCAAGAATTACTGAGCAGCATTCAATGCCATGCACTGACAAACAGACACTTGTGCTGCATTTTTTTCTCTTGATACGTGGATAAAAATATCTATACTAAGCTTGGTTGTCTAAAAATTTAGCTGCGTAAAACTTTATTTAAACATACTGAATTTTGAATATTTTTACCTGAGCTATGATTGCATTCTTATAAACTGCCTGAGGCCTAGAAATGAGGGAAATACCTTCTTAATTTGTCCTTGGGCTCCGTGCAGCTTTGGAACTTTGTGTGGGACATGAACTAAACCTTTTGACTTTAATAATTTATTTGGGGGGCGGAAGGGAGTGAAGCTGGTAGGCACTTAGTGGGTTAAAATAATAAGATGTCAACATTTCTGGAAAGGCTGATAATCCCTTTTAGGTTCTTGTGTAGAGCACCGATGTCTCTCTCTTTCTGGCATAGCATCCGATTTGGCCATCCCTGAGCGTGTGCTTACCGGCAAAGTGTATACTGTACTTGTGCTTCAGCTGGTGTGAAATTTTAAAAAGGCTTGAACCCCAGGTCTGTGGAGATTGCCCGCCTAGATAGCCCAGACTAGGTCTGCTTAAAAATCTTTGCTGCCCTGGGAAGGGATGGCATGGGCACCTCTGGGAAGAACTTTGAGCCTTTAATATTAGTACTGTGACATTGCTGCATTGTGCAGCTAGGTCAAGACAGAGAAACTGGGCAGCTCTGTGATCTTTTCATGTTATTGGTGACTGTGGAAACGCACGACTGCAAAGCAAGGGAATAGTCAGGGTTCCTCTCCCCTCTAAGGTATACTAAGTATTGCTGGCATTCAGGATGCATATCTGAAGGTAAAGATTATGTCAGCCAGTGAATTTGGCTTTGAACTTGGAATCCAGATTGCTTTTAAAAGACAGTGTTGACACAAAAATCAGGATTTTATCTCTGCTTTTCTTTAAGTTTGATCACTTGGCAGTGAGACCGTATTATGTTCTGATTTGAGAAGTTTTTCTTTGTTCTTCTCAAACAGTTTCTAGCTGATCTTTCTTCCAGCTGAATGTGAAGCAACTAAGTTGATAGATGTCTATTGTGACTATCTAGCTGATGGCTCTTCTCACCACCTATCCTTAAAGGCATCTGCGACGGACTGAATCGGTTGGGAGATCAAAAACTTGAATTTTTCTATTGGCAGCTTCCTTCCACATTTTCCCCCAAGACCATTTCTTCTTCAATGAATTTCCAAACTCTTAGTCATAATTTTCTTTTAATTTAGACCAGATTATAACCTTAACAAAAAAAAAAGACAGGAAGAAAGATTTTAAGCCTTTAAAACTATGAATAATTTTGTTTTGCTGTGACATGAAAGACAACATTTTGAAAATTATCTAAATAACACATTATATATATGGACAGGCTTACAGAAGAAGAGATGTTAGCTATGTGGCTTAAGTTATGTAATTAAAGAGACTATTGCATATCTGGTGTTAGAAGTTCTCAGAGGTATCAGGCTCCAGAACAGCCTCCTCTAGGGTATACCTCTGAAAGTGCATTATAATACAGTTTGTAGAGCTGCCACTTGAGACTGAATTGGTACCCAAGATTATGGCTGGCTAGACCTGGAGATCCGATGCCTGTCACAGGAAAATATGCACCACTCCGTTGGTTGTACAGCCTCTGATAGCTTGAGACAGACTTTTTTAAAGGAAGTGGGAGAAATTCAAGTGCTTGATATTAATCTCAAGTGAACACACCATCACTTGAGACATGTGCTTGTATGTCCTTGAGCCTCCCAGAGCGATCTGGACTTGCTGGGGTGAGCAGCTGGAGTCCAGCAGCAGTGTCTCATCATCGATTCCTTCAAAGGATCTTAGTCATCAACGTTGTATACCCATTTCAGCATCATGCTTAAGAAGTTAACAGAAATCTGAGGATATTCACAAGTTTTTTTCCAAAAGGGTGATTTGAAAATGGCATACACTCAGTAAAATCATTCCCTGTGACTTCTTGGATTATCTTTGAGGTAAAAGCTTATGCCTGGTCAGTACCATGAAGCTGTTGGCTTGCTACAAATTCACGTCTTAACTGTGTCCCACCGTATCATCTGCCCATACCACTAATACATAAGCACCAATGCCACTGTGGCGGAATAAAGAGGATTCTGATCTATTTTGTGGATGAAGAGAAAGGTTGGCTGTGCTCCACTGGCTGCGTTTATCAACTAATGTAATGAAGTTTTAATGTCAAAAATCTGTTGTTGATGCTTTGCTTAGGATTTTGTCTTTAAAAAAACCCCAAACTAAGAATTATTTACAGAATGCCATCTGTATTGTGTTGTTATATGCAAGTGTCCAGATGTTAGGAAACAACAGATTTAGATTTCTCCAAGCAGTAAGGGATAAAGGTCTGAGGTGAATATCTCAGTAGTTGGTGTTTATTGCTTGTCCCAGTCTCCAAACCAAGCGGTAACTAAATGGCATTGTAGAGTACACCTGCAACGTTTCAGCAGGAGGCAAACGTTGTAGAAAGACCCAGCCAGTTAATACTGCATGGGCAGAACCTTTTAAAACTGAACTATGTCTTTTAATGGCAAGGTGATCAACATTGTTTCTTGCTTCTGTTTCTCTAATGCAGCATTCTGCAAAAGAATGAGGTAAGTCATGGAGAAAATTTTGTTCTTATTGCATGACTTATTTATGGTGGATATGGGAACAAAGATTGCTTCAGAAATGAATGGATGATTACTGTTTTGATAGAGCTGTTGCATGTAAAAGGAACTTAAACTGTGTATTCTCATTTAACAAGAAAAAATACTACTTTCACAAATTCTCTCATACTTTTTTCTGCCTTGGAACAGAGGGCGGATTCCCCCCCCCCCCCCCCCCCCACCGGCGGCGGG